AGAAATGACGTACGAAACCAGATCATATCACTCAGTATAGCCTCAATTCTAAGGGAGAAAATAAGATATGGGTACTCCAGATGAGTCAAGTGTTGAGTTAGAAAATAATTTCCGAGCAAAGCATTCAACCTTATCTGCCATAAATGCCAAGACTTCGAATTGATTGAATAGAGGAGGGATTGAGGATTTGCTGTTGTTCAGCACACCTCTTCCACAGCCTCCAATAATCTTTAGAACCGAACTTTCAAGATGCTATATGTTCTATCAGCAAAACAGTAACTTCGCTTCATTGAGGACGCGCTTGCAGTCGTTACGAGCAGATACGTATGTTACAATTAAACGTGTTACACTGGAACAGCCGGAAGAAGTGATTCCTGTGGGCTATAGCGGCCGAGCATGCAGGTGAGAATCAAGGAGCTGAACGCGGTTTGACTTATTATTTCCTTGTTGGAATGAAAGCATCGTTGCTGCATTTCACCTAGGAAGTGACCTCAGACGTGATTAGCTTTTTTTTTTTTTTTTTTAAATTTGGCTTAATTGTCGAGGATGACGTCAAGTTTTTTATTATTATTATTGTAGCCGGACTTGTTTAGGATAACGAAAGTGTTGGATTAATTGCATATAATATTGATTATAACAATGTAAGCTTGCTTTCTTCAAAGCTTTGGTTAAGAATTATGTTCGTTTTTGTATTTGTATCTGATTTTTATGGCTTCAGTTTTGAGCAATATTCGTAGTCCGAGGTGAGTTTTTATCCGTTTGTCGCCTTACAGTTTTAGGATGATTTTTATACAGAATTTCAATCACCACGTTTTTTATATTAAACTCATACATCGATCACACATGACACCAACCACACTCTCTAGTATGTTGAACTGTTACCTGTCGAAATACACATAATAATAATAATAACATCACGAACAACTAAATTACAAGTATCAACATAAGATAAATATTAACAGATAATACTAAAATATTATATAGCAACCAATGAAATTGTTGTGATGTGGGGTCTGGCAAGACACAACATTTAAGACGACAGAATCAGTCGTGATAGAAGTATTCAATACGCAGACAAATTACTGCAATAGTATCATCTTCCCCGTCTTAGACAATTATCCAGGTTTGCTTATCATGAGTGGATCAGACCATTCATGAAAGTAAGAAGGGTAACTAGCTATTACCACAAGAGCAATGAATGACTCAAAATCCTAGAAGCTATTATTATACAAAATTAACAACTCACATTAAGTAAAATATTTTCACTAAACCAACGGCAACTTAACGTGTGTATTAATATATTTAACATGCGTAAAAAAAAACAATATTTGATACATTCTTTTTGGTGCAGGGATTCACTCACTTTAACCACTACACATGACGTTAATGCGAACAATTTTAAACTCTTAGATCTCTATAAAGTACGAGAATGTTGACAACGAAATCTTACACGGATAGCACATGGTTCTTGATAATGACTAAGACGATACACAGTACTTGAACACTTATCAACAATTTCGATCCCTATACGATTAAAAATTAAAGACGGACCTTGTCGGCTAAATTTAATCAAATTTGTCTGGATGAATATTTGCTGCCTAAATATACCTTGGGACCCCTCCCTAGTGACTTTAGAACGACCTTATTATTCTTGGCATGAATTGCATTATTTTGGATTTGTGACGCAGTGCGCTATCCTGCTAGAAGTGGCCACAAGTGGATGGCTGCGCTATAGACTTTAATTGAAACACGTGGTCAACAACAATAGCTACGTAGACTGTGGCATTTAAACAATCTTTTATTGGTACCAAGAGTCTAAATGTATGCCAAGAAAATAATTCCCCTTACTATTAAACCAACACCATCACCCTGTATCGTTGATACAAAACAGGATACCTCCATACTTTCATGTTATTATATTCCAAATTCTGGCTTCAAAATCTGAATGTCGAAGCAGAAATCAAGACACTTTAGAGCTGGCAACGTTTTTCCAATCTTCTATTTTCCAAATTTTTAATCCTTAATTTCTTGTTCATAACTGACAGAATTAGAGTATCCTGCATCGTTTGGTCTTCTACTGATTTAACCCATCGTTCGATGATTTGCGCATTGAGAGATGGTCTTCTGTATATCTATCCACTGTAAAGAATGCGTATTTGAACTATTGTTGCCTTTCTATTCGTTTGAACAAGTTTGGCTATTCTCCTATGAACTTGTTCATCAATTTCCGTTTACAGAAATACCGCATTTTTATGACTATTCTCTGTAAACCCTTGAAGTCGTTCTGCGGGGAAAAATCCTAGTAGATTAGTTGTTTTTGAAAGACTTAGATTTGCTTATCTGATACCAACGACGATATTGCGTTCAAATCAATTAAATCTCCTTTCTTTTTTCTGCTTCAGCTTTGAGTAATGTTCGTAGTCCGAGGTGAATTTTTATGAGTTTGTCATCTTTTTCTGGAAGGCGCTATGACCATGTTTAAATGCTCACATTCATAAAATTTCAGTCACATCATTGATTAGAGATTTGCATAAAAAATGCCGCTGTCCATTTTTAAAGGACAGAATTCAAGACCTGGATACTTATGCTTAACGTTCATTTTTTTATATTTACGCTTACATATTTTTATATATTGTGCTCAATATTAAGATAGAATTAAAAATAGAGCATTAATTACATAAAAAAGAATATTTAACTTTGAATATCAATTTTTTGTTATTTTCCACGACTTCGAAGTTTCTTGGTAATCTCCATTCTTCAAGGGGTCCTGTTTTTTAAATTATATTTCCAATTCTTTCAATTTATTCTTCGTCTTTTTCAGTCCATTTTGTACACATGCGCATTCTTTTACACGCGCACCTTCATGAATTTTTCCCTTTTGTTTATGTCTTCGTTTTTTCAGTTGTAGATTTTTCTTCCTGATGTAAATTTTTTCGAAATTAATTTTTTTCGAAATTAAATGTAATTTTTTATGGTTTAGATTGAAGTTGTTATGTTATATTATATTATTAATTAAATTGTAATATTTGTTAATTTGTATCAGTAATTAAATTATAATATAATAATAATGTTGTATCTGTATTATTAATTAAATTCTAATATTTGATTTATTATGTTATATTATTATTAAAGTAACAGAGTAAATATTTGTTAAAATGTCACCATCGACCTCTTATCTCAAAAAGAATTTTGAAGAAACAATACATTGATATTTAAAGTTAAAATCTTTATATATATATATATATATATATATATATATATATATATATATATATATATATATATATATATTCTTACTTTCCAATTTTTGGTATTTGAAATAAAGTTTATTAAATTCAGATTATGATATTTTATTTAGTCTTTTCGATCATGGTATAGTTGTAGTTAGCTTAGTAGGAATTTATTTTCGTGCCTACATTTGAAAATAAGCTAGTTTATCTTGTTCTGGAAAAGTAATTATATATCTTTTCTCTTTTAGGCAATGATTACTTATTTTGAGGTATGCAATATAGTAACAAGTAGAAGCTTATGAATCTTTATTTGACCAATTCAGCTTTAGAATAGAAAAACGTTTATTTTTATTGTGATGGATGGTTACAAGCGAGAGGGGAGATAGAATGTGTTATTGCCACAATGGGTTGTACACTGGTACTGTGTAAATTTCTTATTTTCCTTGATATTTCTGCTGCATTATGGTTCGTGTTTTTTAGTTTCCGTATTTGATTTGTAAAGTTTTTATAGTTTGCATTTTTGTTGTTAAAATATATTTTGTGGGAATAACTTGTTTCCTGTTATTCATAGACTGAGTATCCTTTGGTATGTTACCTTATTTTGTAGCAATTTATTACAAGTGGGGTTATGGGTGGTTGTGGTGTACTGATGACTTTTCGATTGTTTTTTTTTTTGTTTGTTCTTTCATCATTTTATTCGTTTTCAGCGCGGCTAAGCTCCAGAGAAAATTCTTTTTGAATGATTTGTGCAGTTTACTTGATTTGATGGAATTTGTGCGCTTCAACTCATATTCTATACTCAATAATCTTATCTCGCATGTATAGAATTTTTATTTCGAGAAGTATATGGAGAGAAGGTGTGTGTGTGTGTGTGCGTGCGCGTGTGTGTTACAGATAGACATATAGTGAATTACCATAACTTACTTACGTCCGCAAGGACAAACAGGGGAATGAACAGTTATATGCACCATTTGTGTTGAGTTGAAAACCAAATTGGTGAAGATTTTACTTTCTAGAAAATTTGTTTTTTGAAATACTGTCTTGGGCTAGGTCCCACTAGCATTACCAGAGGAGACGCAACACACTCAGCCACCAAGCAGTTTTCTCTGTCCGTCCGTAAATCTCTCTCTCTCTTTCTCTCTCTCAATATATATATATATATATATATATATATATATATATATATATATATATATATAGATAGATAGATAGATAGATAGAGAGAGAAAAGAGAGAGAGAGAGAACACTAGATAAATTAAATATATAAGAGCTACTAAAAAAAGTTTTCAATGTACTCTACAAAAATTTGAACAACTGACCAAAATGTTTTTAAATTTCTTTTCAGCTATCTATATATATATATATATATATATATATATATATATATATATATATATATGTGTGTGTGTGTGTGTGTGTGTTTTTGTTTAAGCACTCTGCAGTCCTGTTTCGAAATTTGAGCTGGTATATACCCACGTCAAATTGAAATCTGGTCAAAACGGCCGTAGTCTCCGGTTCACATAATCCCAGCTAAATTTCCCCTTCCCGAGACCAACCCATTCTATCCCGGCCCACAGACGCCCGATCACCCAAACTCAACACCATTCCCATCATCATATTCTATATTTACCATTCTCAATAATCAGAACTGTTTGAATTGTGTATCCAATTAATTTCGTGTTGAAGCCACGCCAAGCGATCGTCCGATTGGAGCGGCGACACGAGTTCTTTCTTGTTTGCCACTTTGAGCAATTAGAGTAATTAATATAATGGCTTTCTTCCCGCTAAGTAAATTTTCAACTGGATGACGGTGAATCGAACGCTGTAACAGAATAAGCCAATCGCGCTGTTGTTTTTTCAATTAAATCTTTCCATAGAAAAGAGACGTTCGCTACATTAGCCACCATTTTTCAATTCGCCATTTCTACAGAAATTTTCTGATGCTCCAAGGTTTTAGTTTTCAATGGTATTGCCAAACAATTGTCAGCACCAGGAAATCTTTTAAAAAATTATTGGATGCAAAATTCTAAAATTTGTCTCTTTGGTTTATAAAATTTTCACGTTTTCTCCATGGCCGTAAGCGCCTTGAATGTTCTTTGAACCAATTGTTGGTTATAACTTGATAATTTGTTGTGTCCAACTGGAAGCAAATCCATCTTTACCGACGGTTTCACGCATTCGAAAATATATAGAAAGAAGAATTGTTTTCGTTTGTTCATTAACAATCAGCCTGTTTCTATAATTGTTCATATCAATCATTTTTTTTTTTTTTTTTGCTTTTTCTTCTTTTGCGTCTTTTATTTTCTAGCCTAAGATTCTGCTTCGTTTTATTTGCCCAATTTGCACTTTTTCTATTTAATTCTTTTACAAATCCATGACTTTTTGGTAGTGTCTTGTCGGCAACGAATAGTATCGAACCCGGATTCATTTTTTCCCTCTTTCCGTCGACACCTTGTTGAGTGATTTGTACGGGTTTGTTAGGTTCACTTTATGAATCATGATACTGATTAGGGATCAAAATGATCGAAATAAACGCGCATATGACATCAAATTAATGACCTGAATTAATAAGACTGAATAAAAACGGGAATCATTTTAGCCCTCTTTCTAATCGGGCTTATGGCACGAAAGCAAGATTAACACATCAACGTTATATTTATAGATTACGCTACCAGTTCAAAATACGTATATCTATCTATCTATCTATCTATCTATCTATCTATCTATCTGAGTTTGTTCAAATCTATTTCTGTATCGATCCAGTTGTTTGCGTGTTCACAAATTATAATGAAAGGCTTCGAAGCCCTAATCAATACCGAAGTGGTTAACCACCTCACATCCCATGATCTGCCCTCAGACAAGCAATATGGCTTCCGCTTTGCCCGATCTACAGCTGATGTGCTTACGGCCATCACTGAAACTGTCTACCAAGCTCTTCAAAATAAGCGTTTGACAGGGTTTGACATGCCGGCCTTCTTCGCAAGCTTCAGGGTTATGGCATTACGGGTCGATTGTTTGACCTAATACAATCATTGCTGTCAAACCGTGAATTGAAGGTCGTTCTCAACGGATTCTTCTCCAGTTCCTATCCCACGAACGCAGGTGTTCCTCAAGGCTCCTTCCTGACGCCATAAATTCCCAAGTTGGCATCTACGCGGACGACACCACAATTTATTCCTGCCTCAAAAACAAATCTAGTGTCACTGACAAAACTAACCTGGTCGTGCGTCTCGAAAAGGACCTCCAATCGGTTGTGAACTGGGGAAGGAATTGGCTGGTCAACTTTAATGCTTCAAAAACAAAACTGCTCTTTATTAATCACCACAGAGATCCTTCCCTGCCCTCCATTAGAATGTCTGACGTTCAACTTCTCGAGAGCACTTCTCTGAGGCTGCTCGGTCTCACGTTGACTGTTGACCTGAGATGGAACAAATACATTGAGTCAATTGCTTCGTCCACCGCAAGGAAAGTTGGCTCCCTGTGCCGCGCCACGAAATTTTTCTCCCCAGAATCGATCCTTCAGATCTACAAATCAACAATTCATCCTTGCATGGAGTATTGCTGCCATATATGGTCTGGAGCCCCTTCTGTTTGCCTCGGGGTTCTTGATAGGCTCCAGAGGCGGATATGCAATATAATTGGCCCTGATCTGGCATATCGTCTACAGTCACTTTCTCACAGACACGCCGTCGCCTCTCTCTGTCTGTTTTACAAATAATTTCATGGCAATTGCTCCGAGGAGCTGCATTCGCTGGTTCCCAGTTGAGTTCAAGCGCCCTACGAGGCTGGCATCCCGCTCTCAGCCTTTCACTGTCGAAACTCCTAAATGTAGCCGTCTCTTCTACTCCAATAGCTTCATTTCTCGCACCTCTCGCCTGTGGAACTCCCTTCCCTATTCCAGTTTCCCTGAGAGCTATAATCTCCAGCTATTCAAATGTAATGTCAATCGACATCTCCAGTTGTCTTGATATATCCACTACCCTTCTCCTCATCCTTTCTTCTATCACTCCTATCTGATCTTTCTCCAAATTTTCTGTAACCCCTTGCGTCGTAGTGGCTTCTCGCCTTTTTTTGGGTTGAAATGCTTAAAAAAAACAAAACAAAGAAAGAATTCAGCCATTTAATATATACTAAAGAAATCCCATCGGAAGTAATGTCACCTCACCTCCTTAAATGTACTCCTGTTGGAACACCACATGCTTTGAAACGGCCTCCTTTCAACTTTTTAAAACATTCCTCTTTCGATGTCACCTCTTTCAGCATCGTCATTGGCTGACTTGTTGCCTCCTCAGTAATCCTTTTCACGGTCTAAAATCCCCTTTTCAACGGCGGTTTTAGCATTGGCAAAGCCACAATCATAGTACGCCAAATCTGGAATGTTGGTGGGACGACGGCAGATTGGTGTATGTATTTGAATTGGACGTTTTGTCAAGAAAACCTACACGTGACAGAAACATGGACAGGCACGATGGTGTCAGATGAATTCGACAATTAGCGTCTCACTGCTGATTGAACAACTCCACAAAATCTGTTTACACAAGCACAGTAAGGCCTATTCTGAATAGTTGTTAAATTAAATCAAGACCGTACATCTGGTTCTAAAAATATTAAGGATGGCTGGATAATTTCGGGAGAGACCTTGCGTATTTGTCTCGTAAAATTGGCTGATTCTTGCTATTCAGCAGGAGTCAATATATATGGTTTTAAACACCCAGTAGGGTCCGACTCGCAACCCTTCATCTTAAAATAAGACGCGCATTTTCGACAGAACCGATCGTCAACGTTTAAAATGGTGACAATTGCATTTTTCCTTGGATTTGTTACCTGTTAACACTTTGTTTTAAATTTCCTAAAAAAATAATTTAATCACCAGTTAACCTGACGAAACAATCATAATATTGAAACATGAAAGCACAACATGTTTTTATTATAATCTCTAATATATATATATATATATATATATATATATATATATATATATATATGGACACTGGACTCAGCGACAGTCTATTGCGTACGTGATCTTCAGGCCGTGTGTTTTGTTTTTTTTTTTTTGTTTTGCCTCGAATATTTATATATACAATAGTGCATTATAGATATCAGGTCTATTGTATTATCATAATAGTTATTGGATAGTTAGCAACAGGTATGCTTCAAATTATTCTCGAGTCTATTGATTACGAATAATTGTGCATACGAATGCGGTTATTTGTAGAGTTGTTTGCTAATTTTTTACTCATAATTTATTACTTATTTGTTGTTTATTATTATTAAATTTACTTGGGGTTTATATGTCTCATTCATTGCTTCTTAATTTATTATTTACTTAATTCGTTTATATATATATTATATGCTCTGACTTTGAGGGCCAAGTATTGTTGTTTGCTGAGGTCCTACATGTTTCCCAATGATATCAAGCACCTTTCATGCATGTGAACTTTTACTGATGTTTTTTTTCTTAAATTTTCTCAAATGAACGTGATTTTACGGCATTTTCAACTTGATCAGATAAGCATTTCCCCGTTCGGTGAATTTGGTTGGGGTGTGCATCGTATGTTCGTATCAACTATCCTTTGAATATCTTGAACTTGCTAAAGGTGTATAAAATGCACCATTTTCGCAAATAACTGTTGCCAACCACCTGATGATTGCGTGAGAATGCATGATACTTTTAGTTGTGGTCGGCCATTGTTCACCTTGAATTTATTTAGAAATATATGCAATATGTATGAGTTTCTTCGATATTTTTTTCAGGAATGGAGACGTTGAATATTAGAATCCATAAATCATTTTTATAATGTTTGTGTGGTTTTGGTTTGCTTAAATCGAGTTTTTGTTTTCTTTTTATTTAACGGATTTTGCTCGAATTAAATATAATATTTTAATTATTCGATACAAACCAGAAGCATTTTGCCTTTGATTTGCTTCAGATTTGCCTTTCATTTCGACTTTTATTCAACATTACACAAAGTAGAAACTGCCGGTGCTGTCATAGGAATCAGTTACAATTCCGACGCCATTATCAAGATATTAATGTTGCTTATGATTTTGATTGATATTAATATTCATCGATTTTAAAGTTTACTTACAATGGAATTAGAAAAAATGTTTTTAGTTTACATAACCACGTTTTTAGCTGAAATTAAAAATATATATCGTTCCTTTTCTATATATATAAAACCTATATATATTTTATTACATTCAAATTAAAATTGCCTTAGAAATTACGATAGATATTTGCTTGAAAAACTTTATTTTGACGACTTTTTTAACTACTAGGGAATTTTAGTTTTGTTTACGTTTCCAGTGAAGAAAATTTGTCTTATCAATTCCTTGGCATGCTCCTTCTACAGGTTACTTCTGTTTGAACAATGCCTCTTTGTTATCTTAGTTTTGCTGGTTATGTAACATTTCTGGTTATTTTATCTGAGTCCCAGAAGTAAAGAAGACGTGCATTCATTGCCAAGATGGCTGCAGTATTCGTGAATGTTGTATGAGACCGAGGTTTGGAAAATATCACGGTTATTTATCTACATATGCCCAAATAAATAATGATCAAAACTTTTAAGGGTGATGCCAATTTATAATATATATGGTTTTACGGGTTTAATTCTTATAGTTTTCGAGTAAAAAAAAACAAGCCACAAATAAAGTCAACATAAATTTACAACACACACACACACACACACACACATATATATATATATATATATATATATATATATATATATGATGGACTCTCCCGTCGATTTCGACGTGTGAGGTTCAACAACTTTTTAATGACCTTTATGTTTGAATCTAGAGTGACATTTCAGACATGTAATGACTTTAAAAAAACAACAGATTGGGCAAGCGTGTGAGCAAAGAGGGTGCACTTCTCTGGAACCTTCTGAGGTTTTTTTTCTTTCTCCTGCTTCAAACAACGCTTGCCGCCGAAAATTCCTGATTCAGTGTAAGTTACACTTTTCCAAGCTTTGCGATCAAGGCAGTATTCTCCAAATCAGTGTGTGCAATATTTGCAGCTGCAAGGTTACTTTTCAGCTTATCTTTAAACCTGAGCAAGGGTCGGCCAACATTCCGTTGACCACCTTCAATATATATATATATATATATATATATATATATATATACACACAGGGTGTATCGAAAATATTTTCACAAAATTTGGGCATGTTACTGGCACCAAAACAAGGTCAAATGTCTATGTAAACATATGTCCAAAAGGCCATCATGGTATCTCAACACAGTCACTCATAACAAATGTCCAAAATGTCCTCCGCTTAAATCTACATACGCTTGCACCCGTCATTGACTGCCGGATCCTTTCAAATACTCCCACACGGTGTCGCATGATTTTGAAAACCCTCATGACACGTTGATGAAGCATGTCTGCATTATTAATGCCCGCTGCATAAACCAATTGTTTTAGGTGTCCCCACTAATAAAAAATAGTATTAAGGTTTGGGGAACATGTAAACCATGCAACCGGTCCTCACCTACCTATCCATCTTTTATGGTAGATGTCAACCAGTACATCACGAACAATGTGACTAAAATGTGCTAGAACGCCATCATACATGAAGCACATGCGTCTTCGTATTAGCAAGTGTACATCCTCTAGCAAGTCGGGAAGTATGTTCGGAATAAAATTCCTGTAGACAGCTTCTGTAAGACGTAATGGGAGAACATATGGACCTAACAGTCACCTACAATTCCAGCCCACACATTAATCGTAAACTAATGCCGGTGTCTATTCTGCATTGTACCATAA